CGTTGCCTATTTGTAGGCTACCCAAAAGGCTCTATAGGTTACCTATTCTATGACCCAAGTAAGTAGAAAGTGTTCTGCAGTTGAAATGCACAATTCTTGAAAACCGACTACATCCTGGACACCCATTGTCAGGAAGTTGTTCTTGATGAGGAGAGCTCAGGAGCAGTGGGAGATGTCCCACAAGTTCTAGGTAGTGACCAACCTAAAAGATCCACCCGGGTATCCAGGCCACCAGTCTGTTATGGTTATGACCAGGATAGTTACGTGGTGGAAACCTTGACTAGTGAAGAGGATCCCGTGACTTACGCGGAAGCTATGTGGAACATAGATTCCCAGAAGTGGGTGGAGGCCATAAAAGCAGAGATGGACTCAATGGAGACCAATGGAGTCTGGACTCTAGTATGGGAAACTATATGAACCACACACATACCCCACTCGAATTTTATAAACTTCACCACTCGTGACCACAGCCCCACTTGTGAATTCAAATACCGTGAGATGAGGGGCAAAGGTTTTTCCTAATAGTTAAGTTATCACACTATAGTAGGTAACCCTATTCCTCATTGAATGGATACTCATGGTACATAAAAGTGTTCTGTTAAATTTCTAAACCAATATTGATCCAAGGGTTAGTGAACTTATCCCTGGTACATTAATGTAATGAATCCACATACATTACAGGATTGTCTCCCTTAGGTTGTATTTGGTTTGAAAGAAAAAGGAGGGAAAGAAGGGAAAAGTAGCGGAGGGAAACCTTTATAAACCAAATACAATCTTAAAAAGTTTTAATAATAAAAAGTTGAATTTTAAAATGATAACCAATAAATAGAATGATTCCACCCATCAATTGTGCAAATTGTTACTTGGCCCCATTCTATTAATAATGATAAGGTTAAGGACTCCAATCTATCAAATATACATTTTTCTTTTTCTTTTTCATTCTTTTGGCAATTGCTATCTCATGCAAAGCCCATCCCAGTTGCAACACTAATAATGAGAAAAGCTCATTTTTTCATCTAATATCACTATTTGGATAACAAAATCAATCATCATTTATATATCACTAGTCACTAATATATTAATATTCAAAATGAGAGTGAGTTTGGTTATTTTCTTGCAAGTTACATTATTTTCCAAGTTCAAATAGATGGCTTTCCATATGGGGGGTGGCAAATTCAACTATTTACATAATATAGATCAACCCATAGAGTCAAAATTAAGTAATAAAAGTTCAAATAGATGAAAAAAAAACAATAAGTTTTTAAAATAGAAATTTTGTACAAAATTTATAGGGACATCTTACACATTATATATTTGTCATGTTAAAAATCATACATGGTTAATAAAAATTCTTTGTATTAATTATATGAATAAAATAAAAATTAGAAAAAATAAAAAAATTGTCCAACCCATGAATTAATAAATAGATCAAATGGTTTAATGCTTAAATTAAATAAGTCATTTTTATATGGATTAAATCAATAGTTTTCTAAAACCAAATAGTTTGGGCGTAAATCGACCAATTATGCTTCTATTACTTATCTTTGTTACATGAATTTCAATAAGATTATTGTTGTTGTTCTTGTTATTATCGTCATCATCATTGTCGTTTCAAATTGTCATGGGAAATAATAAAAACAACAATAATAACAATGCAACGAAAATGAAAATGATGACGATGACAATGCAACGAAAATGAAAATGATGGCGATGACAATGCAACATCATATCATTATTTTGTACAACAATTGATTAAATAAATTCTCCATGTGCATTATCCTTTGATACGATACATCATCATTACCTGTTTTTGAATTTGATCCTAAATATTAATACTACTATTAACGTATGAATTGATCAAAAAAATTTAGAAAGTGTGGTTTCATAGCCACTTTTTTGTACATCTTATTCCCTTTCACTAAGAGCTATATTTAAAGTATTAGCTCTCAATCTCTCTCATTAAATACTGTGGTTAAAGCAATTTTATTTCTTACTCTTGAATTCCACTAATTTCCAATGAAAATTCCCTATTTAATTAAATGTGTAACCCATAATTTTAGTGATATAGATCCTTATTTTAAATTACATAGAAATTAAATAGTATTTCCATGTAGGTGGTAGCTTGACAATTAACCAATAAGGTCATCTAATTTTCACCAAACAAGTAAAAATTTGGAGCTAAATATTTAGTTCAGAAGGTAATAAATCCGTTAGTACATTTTAAAAGATAAAGGAAGATTCCAACAATAGCCTTAAACAAGTTACTCAATTAAAATTGACCTTACATTTCTAATGAAGAGGATACCGCCAAAGGATTTAATGACTCCAAGGGTTGGGTTCTGATATATGATAATTTCTTTATGTTATGTGCTTATTAAAAATGAATAATCTTTCATGTTATAACCAAACACCCCAAATATAATTCATTCTTCCCAATTAGCTGAAAGAATCTAATTCATGTACAAAATTCATTCAAACAAAAACACCCTTGAAAAAATGATTTCTATCTTCTAATTAGATTATGCTAGACATTTTAATCTTTGAATTACTTTTCATTTACTTTCCCTAATTATTAGTATCATATTAGCATATCTTTTTTTTTTTAAATTTAAAACCCAAAATAAATTTTATGCTATAAATAGGGCACAATTATGTAATAGAGAAATATGGTGCAATTTGTTGAATTGAGTTCAGTGTATCAAGATGTTGGTATTTCATTTGTAGATAGGTGGATGGGCACAATATCATCCTTCATTTATCTTATTTATAATCTATATAGATACTATTATTAAAAGTATAAACGAGTCTGTGGAGTTTTCTTCTTGACTAAAATACGCAACTATTTTTTTCACCTCATTCAATTCCCTCTAATTAATTGTAATACTTAAGGTGTAAGCCTTCATTCTCTCTCTCATTAAATCATATTTTTAAGGTACATTTTAACACCAATAAATTCTACTAATTAAATCCATATCCAATATTTTTTAATAATATAAAGTCCGTGTATCTTAAAATCAGCCAAAATAAAATGAAATTATTCTTCCTTCTAGGTGGCAAGCAAGCAATTCAACAATAAGGGTAATGGATCAACCCAAGATGTCATAGTTAAATAATAATTTGAATTCACATAGACGCCCCACGGAGCACTCCCCATATCCACCCAACAACACATACCAACCATGTATTACGAACATTTGCACACTGAGATGTGCATGTGGGGCACCAGTTTGAACCCTAATAATTTGACATTTTACGTCAAATGTAACAACCCCTAGTGTCAAAATTAAACAACAAAAGATAAGAAAAAAAATAAAAAGCTTGAAAAATTACGAAAATATTTGGACACATCTCTCCAATATTTTATATTAATAATGTTAATGAAAAAAATGAATAAAAATAAGTATGAACCTTGTTCTTCATCTAGTCTATGGTTCTATATATAGAGCATCATCACCACCTCCACAACTACCAACCAACCAACGAAAAACTATTCCATTTCTGTTAACAGATCATAGTTTCATACCAGGGTGCAATGGGTGGCCTGAAAGTTGAGTTTACAATTATCTTCATATTGGGGTTCTTCTCCATGATCAGCCTTAATTTAGGCCAACCTAATGAATACCCCATCGTGGATTATGATCCTGATAAAATTGTCTCCCAAGAGGGGCTTGCATTGCTCTTTGAGAGATGGATAGAGAAGCATGAGAAGGTCTACACAAGCTCAGAAGAGAAAGAGAAAAGATTCAAAATATTTCAAAGCAACTTAGCCTATGTAATCGATTGGAACTCCAAAAGAAAGCCATCCGATCACAGAGTTGGACTGAACCAATTTTCAGACATGAGTTTCGATGAGTTTAGTGAGATTTATCTTTCTAAACTCAACCTTGAGGAGGACATATTAGAAGCAAGAGCGGAGACAGTAAATCTGACATGTTCATATCCTTCATCAGTTGATTGGAGGAATAAGGGTGTTGTAACCCCAATTAAGAATCAAGGATCATGTGGTGAGTGATAACTTCCTTTTTCCTTTATATAAACGTATTATATTGAACCCCACTGCTTCATTGGAATTGAAGTTGCAATGTTTCATTGGTAGGGAGCTGTTGGGCATTCTCTGCAACAGGAGCCATGGAAGGAATAAACGCCAAAGTCACTAAAAAACTTGTAAGCCTCTCGGAACAACAACTTGTGGATTGTGATAAGAAAAACAATGGCTGTGCTTCAGGTTCCTATGATAGAGCATTTCAATGGGTCATAAAGAACAAGGGTATAGCCACCGAAGCTCAATATCCTTACCTTGGCAGGAAAGCAACTTGCAGAACCAAAGTTGTAAGATCTCTTGAACTTTGTTTCTTTATTTTTCTAATTGGTGCTATTCATGACAAAGATAACTACGTTGCAATCGTGGCTTGAATCCTATGCCACATACAATATACAACAGACTATTTTACATTTTTTGACACAAAATCTACTTCGATTGTGATCGCATGTGGGGCAGTGAATGCATACTCAAATATTTCAATAGCCAATTTATTAACTCCGATTTGGATGCTAGAATTTGTATTATTTTGTATAAAATCTAAGTAAACAAGGCATTTGTGTATATATGAATATCAGATCTTGTTTGCACACAACAGCAAGATCAAAATTGAACTCGAGAGAAAAGCTGCTTTAAAGAAAAATGATTAAAATGATCAACCATCAATAATTTTACAATAAAGTCAAAATTCTGATTTCTGTTATTTGGTTGATAGAATAAAGCGGTAACAATTGACGGCTACAAACGAGTGGCTAGAAATGAGAAATCTCTCCTTGGTGCAGTCGCTCAGCAACCAGTCAGTGCAGGCATCTTGGTTTTAAAGGATTTTGCAATGTTCAGGGGTGTAAGTCAAATATTACAATAGAGAATGGATTTTTGCACTTAAATATACTTGATAAATTATGCACAGTAACCAAATAAGATCTTTAACAAACACAAATTATTTGGTCAACAGAGTGGTATCTACAAAGGACGAAATTGCCCAACAAACTCGTATAACACAACAGCGAATCATGCAGTTCTAATAGTTGGTTATGGAACTTCCAAAGATGGCACAGATTACTGGATAGTGAAGAATTCATGGGGAACTAAATGGGGGAATTCAGGATATGTGAAGATAGCGAGAAACCACAAGTTAAGGAATGGTGTATGTAACATCAATGTTTGGGCTTCCTTTCCCACCAAAAGAACCCACATCCAACGAAAAGGCCTTACCGAGGGCTCTGTGGCTTCTCTTTAAAGGTTTGAATTTCTACCTTACATTTCTTTTCTTTTCCATTTATGTGCAAACATGGGATCTCTTTAAAGCTTTTCATCAAAGGCTAGATTTGTTTTATTTATTTTAATTTTCTTGCAGAAACATGGGAGACTCCTTGCTACTACCTAGCTGAAGGAGGAGATCTAGACATGCAATAACAGTTCGAGAGAATAAAAAGAAGAGGCACTTGTGAAATTAGATGTTTGGTCCTCTTATGTATGTCTGTACGAAATAAATATTAAATAGGTGGCAGTATTTTTGCTACTACCTAGCTGCTAATTGTGTTTTTAATAAAATTCAATCTTCTTGAAATTGACTAACTTACTCCTAACATTTGCAAAATTATTTAAACTACTCCATTAGTTCTCTGTCATATTCCAATTGCAAGTAGTACCACTTTATATAATATTTTGAAAATCCAATTTTGTCTTTCCTGTCTTCTCGACGGAAGCCCATCTGTGTTGTTTTTGGAAGAAGTTATAAAGGACACTATAAAGAAGCTCTGGTAACAAAAGATGTTAATGTTACCAAACTTCTAACGTCAACCAGTGCATTTAACCCCTGTTATATCGTATCAGAGAAAATATAGAATTTTTTTACAAAGGAAAGCATGAGAAGAATCGGTTATTTGACAGCCATAACCCTTAGAATCTATAATCATCATCATCATCATGCATGCCTTATTCCAACTATATGGGGTGGGCTACAAGAATCCTCTTTTGCCAATCTATTATATTTCAAGTAAACAAGGCAATTGGGTTGGGTGGTTTGGGTTTGGGTTGGGCCAAAACACTTTGGTTTGATATCGGGTGGGGCTGAATTTCAGGTTGGCTCAGCAAATACTAGACCCTAACCCTAAATGTTTGGATTAGGGTCCCATGGGCCAATCCAAATCAACCCTAAAGATAATTGAAATTTTAAAAGGAATAAAGAAAAATACATGAAAATGCCAAAATTAAAGGAATTAACCTTAAAACTCCAAATAGAAAATAAAAACACTTAAAAATTCAAAGAGTAAGGTGGCATTTGATAGCACTTTTCAACCTCTGAATTTGAAAATGTTGCTTTTCAGATGCCACATTTGTTTGATGTTGCATCTGAAATATGATCTGAAAAGTTTTTTCAAATTTGAAATTTTAAGATTGAAACCCATCACTTAACGCTCTCAAACGTGTTGCAGACGTGGCCTAAAGTCAAAAACACCCTATCCCATTCGACCTCTCCCTTTCTCATCTTCATACCACCACCGCTAAAACTCTCACCAATAGCGGTTCTCTCTCTCTCTCTCTCTCCTGTCTTCCCACCACCGTTGCAGTGGTGACGGTTCGGTAATTAATAATAATAACAATAATTTGTAAATTATTAATTATTTTAATATTTTAATATTTATTAATTATTTTTTTAATTTTAATCATTTCATTTATGAATTAGTAATTTTTAATTATTATTTTTTTATTTTTTTTATTTGTATTGTTTCAATATTATTTTGAGCTTAAAAATTATTTTTTATGAGATAATGTGAATTGAACTCAATATTTCCAAATAGTATGTTCTAGGGATAAAATAGTAAAATCAGTAAATTTCAGATGGTAAAGGGTTGATCCAACACAAACAAACTTATGGATTCAGAGCCTCTAAAAAGTAGAAAAGCACCTATGCTTCTTTTCATATTTCAAACACAAATATCTTTTTAACTTTTCAGATCTGAAATTTCAAATTTATCAAATGCCACACCTAAACAACAAAAGGAAAAGATACGGAATGAAGATTTCTAGCAATACATGAATAGTCCCAATTAGACTAAACAATTGAGTCAATGAGTTGACCCATGGCCCAACCCAATCCATCCCAATTTTTTCAAAGTTGGGTCGGGTCAGGTCAGGACATTCTCAAATTCGGGTAGGCTGATATGAAATACTGACACTGTTTTTTCAATTTGGATTGGGTCAACTTTTTGTGAGGTCTATTTATGGCTATATATAGTGTTTAACTATTTGTGCTTAAATCATTTCTTACTACTTTTATTCATGTCATTTTTGGTCTACCCCCAACTCCTCTATTCTCTTCTACTTGTTACAAATCACTTCTAACTGGAGCTATCAGTGGTCTTCCATGCACGAAACCAAACCATCTTATACTGATATCGCACATTTTATCACTTATTGAAGCTGCTCTAAAGGTTTTATAGATAGTTTTATTCGTGATCCTATCCTTTCTACTTTTTCCACTCATCCATCTTACCATTCACATTTTTGCCACACTCATTTTGTAAACATGATTCTTGACTAATCAACACTCTGCTCTATACAACATTGCTGGCCTGACAACTATTTTTTAGAAATTTCCCTTTAGTCTAATTGATATTATCCTATCACATAAAAGTTGAGATGCACCCCTCCATTCTCCCTTATTATGAATCATTGAACTAAGGCACCTGAAATGGTCACATCAAGTTATCTCTCATCTCCAATCAATAATTGCTTCCAATAAATTACAATTTACAAGCGACCTCAATAAAGTCATCACTATGGATATGCATCATGGCTTGCACCGATGCAAGGCCACCTCCTCTTGCATTTTGTTGCTTTGAAAGTCTATGGACATCAGTAATATCAAAAGAAAAGGCAAGGATGTTGTAATATCAAAAAATTAGAAACAAATCCTCATAACCATCGATTTCTTTTATAGAAAGAGAAGTAGCACAATTTTTAGCGTTTCTAATTCTTAAAGGTAATAGAGGTGTGAAGGCCCAATAGTGAGGATGAGTCCTATGTCCCCAGACCCTGATGGAGAATAAAAACCTATTAATAGACTTCACCTAACAATTTAGGCATTTGGGTTGAAAGGTTCCTTCCATGAGATAGAATTAGAGCCAAAGACTTTGCTGACCACAAGTATTGACAAATGCATGCAGTGGTTTCCGTGGGTTTGTTGGATTCTCCATGGTTGAATAGTTGGCAAGAGTAGTTAATTCTTCATGATGATTCCACACATGGCAATATACTCCCATAGACAACTCCTTGTGGTCATAAACAAAGGGCTCTTTGTTGGTACATGTCAAATTTTATGATATGATAACAACTTCCATTCAAGGGGAGTAAAGACTAACTGATGTGCAAGATGACTCACACATCAAGGGAGACTGTTAGGATACATGTGTGAGTGTAGATTCTCGCATTGTAAAAGGATAAGAAATGCAAGGAGCTTATATACAAAGTTGGGCCCACAACCTAATGACTTACTTTTTTCAATTAATATCATGTCTAACTCTTGTGTATCAGCCCTACCTGCGTGTACATATGCTTCCAAGTGTTCTTATTCCCTTCATTGTAGAATAGTGTATCAGAATTTGTTTAACTATGTGTTCTAGTGTTCAATCCTCACTGCCCTTATAAATAATTAAAATTCAGCATAATGTGTAGAAGGGAAATTCTTGTCCAGAATTTAAGGCCAAGAGACATTTGTGCGACAAGCACATTAGTAAACAAAAACCTATTCAAAGACCTAACCTAACTAGTGAAAATTTTAGGTTGAATGGCTTCTCGAAAGACCCAAGAAGCTTATTCCCATGTTTTTTACCAAAATATTAAACCCTTTTCCCTATCTTAACCAAATTAAAATGCTCTATATCTAGTTAATATGGCAAACCATAACCTTTGCACCTTCTTTCCAATTTCCTCCGTTCAAAAATATTCATGATTAATTATTATAAAAATGAATTTCCTACTACAATTTTACACTTACATATGTTTAATTAAAACCAAACAAAAAAAAAAAAAAAGGAAGCCACCTACCTAATCAAAATTGGCATTTCAAACGAATAACTACGGCTATCTTTTCTATATTAGGGTGGATAATGCCAGTTTCCTTGTGATAACATGGTTTCTGTAGCCACATTTTTTTTTTCCACTAGGCTAATAACATGAGAGAAAGCAATGATACCAAAGAATCCAACACGTGTGTACCACCAATCAAAACTTTGCAATCATTGGGCCATTAAAAAGTCTTTCAGCAATTGGACCTATCTTGATGATGCATTTTATTCCATCATCTCATGTGCTTAGTAGCCTGGGACTACCTTTTTTGCTAAGGTTAGCCATCAGTTATGCTCATCATCATTAATTAGGCAAACGCTACTTAGTGGAAAAAAATTTTTCTAGTATAGGAAAATATATGAACCACACACACATCCCACTTGAATTTTGTTAACTTTACCACTCGTCACCTTAGCCCCCACTTGTGAATTCAGACTCCATGAGATGAGAGGCTAAGGCTTTTCCAAACAGTTAAGTTATCAAACCATAGTAGGTAACCCTATCCCTTATTGAATGGGATACTCATGATACATAACACTATAGTGCATAACCCTATTCCTATTGAATGGTTACTCATTTTACATAACATGGTTGTGTTAAATTTCTAAACCAATATTGATCCAATAAGGGTTAGTGAACTTATTCCTGGTACATTAATGTAATGAGTCCACATACATTATAGGATTGTCTCCCTTAGGTTGTATTTGGTTTGAAAGAAAAAGGAGGGAAAGAAGGGAAAAGTAGCAGAGGAAACCTTTATAAACCAAATACAATCTTAAAAGTCTTAATAATAAAAAGGTAAATTTTAAAATGATAACCAATAAATAGAATGATTCCATCCATCAATTGTGCAAATTGTTACTTGGCCCCATTCTATTAATAATGTTAAGGTTAAGGACTCCACTCTACCAAATATAAATTTTTCTTTTTCTTTTTCATTCTTTTAGCAATTGCTATCTCATGCAAAGCCCATCCAAGTTGCAACACTAATAATGAGAAAAGCTCATTTTTCATATTTAGATAACAAAATCAATCATCATTTATATATCACTAATCACTAATATATTAATTTTCAAGGTGGGAGTTATCCAAATAGCTCCTCAAGGCTTTTGGATTTATTTTTTGATACAAATAACCATTATTTTGAATTGATTCCTCTCTATTGTAAGGGAAAATTGTAATTCAAATACCACTTTTTATTCCATTTTATTACCTCTCATTAAGTTCTCATATTTAAACTACTAACTCACATTTTCTCTTATCGATACTACATTTAAGACAAGTTTTGTTTCACATCATTAAACTCCATTAATTAAATCCATGACAGAAACTTTAATGATATAAAGAATTTATTTTTAAAGTGACTCAGAAAGGAAATAAAAGTTTTTCAAGTGATGGGTAAGCATATCAACAATTTGGGTCAAAAAGGTCAACCCATAATGACATTATTATTATTGTTCTAAATGATGCGATGATAAAATACTAAGCTTTTAAACATAGAATAT